TAATGATTCTATGATTCTATGATTATCAGCTGTCACTGGTGTTATTGTCATATACAATTTTCTATTGAATATTAAGCATCAATAGAAACTAATTTCTACTGTACACTAAGCTATTTTATACTCCTATGGCAAATGAATATAAAATAGCTATATTCCTCTTTTTTCTAGGTGGGTTACAATATTTTCAATTTTCAGGTAAGTCACAAAGGTCCACAGAGAAACAAACCAAACTGAAATTAAAAAATTCATAAATCTTAAGGACTTCCCAACATGTTCTTATTTATACTGGGTTGTAGAAGCCATACTGTTTCCTATCAATCGAGCAGTGATCCAGGTTTTCAGCTTTCTAGCTACACTCAAAAGCTACATTTGCAGAATAAATATTAGCAACGAATTTTAGTACAGCTGAAAATAAATATACAGCTTATATTCGGCAATGAAATGAAGCTGAAGTTAACAGTGAGTTACTATGTAAGATTAGTTCTAGGAATGTAATCTTTACAGATTCTTTGTCAGATTGATTTAGGCAGGCACAGCTCGCTATTCTGAAGCATGCATCTCTACTTCAATAAAAAAATGTAGGGGAATAAAGTTGGCAAGAGGCAACACTATTCCATGCCACCACCCTAAAACAGAATTGCTTCAGAATATTCGGAAAGACTTATAGTTGAAAGGAACAGAGGCTGCAGAAAAAGCTCAAGCACATAGTTACAACAATAACAAAGCAATTCATCTATGCCATGCAAGCACTTAGGTGTAAGGCTAAAAACAACAGAGTAGGACACAAAAAGTTGTTTTAAATGTGCAGTATCAGTTCCCCTTTGGATAGTCAAATTTGCTAGATTTTTGCCTTCATCCCCACTATTATCTGGCAGCCACCACACCGATAGCAAGTGGCTCCCTCCAGCGACAAAGCTAATGCTGCTTCTTGGGTCATGCTGAACAGCAGTGCAGCCAGCATGCTCTTCCTCCCCTAGAGACTGGGAGCATCACCTTCAGAAAGGGATCAGCCTCCACCACCATCGGGCCTGGGATCTTGAGTCTGCTTCCAAACCTGAGTCTGATCAGTCTTGAAAGCTGCCGTAACACTATAAAAGTACAATAAACTACAAGAAATACCAGATGATTACAACGGATCTGTGTATTGGATGTCTAGATAAATACATCCTGGGTGTGTGTGACAGTGCAACAGATCCTGCACCTTTAAAACTCGAAAAAGCAGATAAAAAACAGTCACCTGAACCTACACTACAGCATATTAATAAAAATGTATATATTGAAAAATGCTAAATATATATATTAAAATATATATATTTAAAGAGAGAGATATAACAAATATTTGACATTTTACAGCACATAGGAATACCTAATATACGTGCCTTGTAGTTCTCGCAAACGTATTGGCGTCATTAGAATTTAGATATCTCTTTACATGGGCCATATTCATATCTCAGTCATACTGGCATAAATCTGAACTGTTTCCATTATCTGTTGACTATGGAACTGCTCTGGTTTAAACTAGTGTAACTGAGATAATTTAGCCTCTTGCTTTATCAGTTTAGCAACAAAATTATTTTTAAGCTAGCAATTAAAATTTTTCAGTTTTCTCCCAGAAGTATTCAACATATACAAGGATATAAGCTATAATGTAGTGTACATTGTCAAGCTTAATTAGCACAACACATGTTATTTTGCTCAATGCATTGCAATCAAACTAAGTTTCGTTTATTTTCCTGAATGACTTGAAATCAAGACTAGATTTAGGTCTAATAAGGTATTTTTTTCAAGCAAGAAAATAAGCATAAGATTTTCCTCTCTTTCTTTTTGATCTAAGGAAGTTGTACTTATCAGTCCTATATGCATTATCTAGTGTAACAGGATATAATTTTCTCTATATTTATTTAGTTATTATTGTTTGTTGTCCTTTAATGACATTATAATTGCAAAACTTAGTGATTTTATTTCTTTGGTTCCTAACAATCTAGAAAGACCAAAATGCACAGAGAATAGCATATTGCAAAGTTTATCAGACTGACCGCCAGCTGGAGGGACAACTTGGTCAAGTAATTTCATGCTCGTTTTCTTCCATATTTTCTTTATAACTGCTCTAAGTTCTTCATTTGCTTGTTCTAGGTTACCTGTGGCAATGAAATAGAAAAATGGAAGATGGCAATTACGTTTCAACCAGCTCCAATGAATCATCCTTTGGCTATTAATTAGCTGTATACACATAAAGACTGTGATAAGGATGCTTTGCAGCAAGCCTAAGCTACCAGAAGCAGCAGATAACAATACTACAACAACTAAAGAGAAGAAAGGGTGTAAGACAGCGAGCTCCTGGGGCTTTCAAATCAGTCTCTGGAGTACTGCAGAAGTCAACCACAATTTCCAGATCTTGGCTTTACTCTGTCACTGCTTAATACCTTCTGCTTAAATTGTGCAGAAAGTGATGTCTTGCTCTTTACAAGCCACTTCTTTCTTGATCCAAAGCTGATCCTTTATTTGTTTAATCATACTAATTACTCAGTTGTACAGGCTTGAAAGTTCAGGCAACTGACTACTGAGCAGTTTTTCATCTCTTGCAATGCTCACCTAAACCACAGTGATGCTGGAGGGGGCTTAATCTAATCAGTTTGTTATTGGCAGTGGAACTCAAATTCTGCTGAGAATAGCAGAAGACACAGAACAGAAACTAGTAAAAGATGGTAAAATAATGAAAAAAAGTATGAAAATAGAAATAAAATTCTTTGAAACATGCCACTATTTTTTAAAACTTTTCCCTCTTTGATGCAAATGACAGAAATCCATTCAAACCAGTCACAACTGGCCTCAACCAAACTGGGGATGTTGCTTTCAAGTGTGCAAAAGTTGAAGTTGCACCAATGCAGGATCCAAGGCACCACGTTAAAGAGGAGTGAGGAAGGAGCATCTTGGTTGGACAGAAAGGGGAACTCATTCATTCCTTGCAGTAGAACTCCTGTTATGCCTCTGCTACATGTTTTTATCTGACCAGATAAAAGCATATAATAATTTCTGAGATTTCTTGACCTCTGGCCTCACTATCCCTTTCCTTTCATTTTCTAAGAAATCATTCCTAGCAACAGTGAATACAACCCATGATCCAAAAGCAAACCAAATCCAGTGAGACTAAGGCAGTCTTACTCATGTCCATCAAAATGAATAAAGTAAATTGTAACTTTTCCTTATTGTACCTTCTGACAAGTGCAGTAAAGGCTTTACAGCTAAGAACCTTACCTTCTGTTTTTATCTTTAGAGCAGTCCTAACCAAAGCAAACAAAGTAGCATTGAACATGACGGTTCCATCACTGTTTAGTGGCATATTCATGGCTACTAACCTCTGTAAATGAGAAAAGGAAAACAAATTTTGATGCGGCTTTGTTTGAAAAAAACCTCCTGTAATGTTCACTTCTAAAAAGCTGATATATTCAAAGAATAATATCCACTGAGAGACATAAAAATTATATGTGTTCAAAAAAAGTTGTCTTCCATCCTAGCTGCGTATAATAACCACGCAATATCGCTTCTTTCTGATATTAATCACATGTATGCTTATACAAAAGCTAAAACTGTCCAGTAGTTTTCATGAGCTATTTATTGAGTTAATTTGCAAGCACTGAAGTCCAGTCCTTGGCCATGACTATAAGTCACACTATGCAAGTATTAAGGACAAATGCAGTTATATAAGAGCATGCACTCCAGTTGCAGTCATGTTCCAGGTTTCCCATGGGTTTCTCCAGCCTCATGCTCCATGAAGAACCACAGCAGCAGGTCTGTCTTGTATAAGCTGATTCATCTCTCAGGTAACTCTCCAGTGATTCTGTGCATCTCTTATGGTATCTACACTGAATTAGTGTGAAAGAGGCCTTCCTCCTTGGATTAGTCCATCTCTGCATTAGTGTTCATCTTTTGGAGCAGTATCGCTGTGACCCTGTCTGTCAGAAGAACACTATTTAATCTATCAAAATCTTTTCCTAATATCTGACTCGGATTTTCTTCTATTGTAGTTTAAAACCATTACTCAATTGGATAATTTATCTTAAGATATAGATATAGGTTTGCTTTAAGTATGCCTTGTGGCATTCCATTTGAACGCAGTGTTTTATATGTCAACGTACCTATTTATAAAACAGATATAAAAGAAATCCAAATGACAGTGGTGTTGTAACAATCCTTTAATTAAAAGGCTTGATCTTATTCCTACTGAAATTGCTAAAACCACAATATCCATAGTTCTGAATTCCTCAAATAACGTAATAATTATTCATCTCCTTTGTGTTGCTTTTCAACTTTTATATTAAAATGGAATTAATCCTCATCTAAATTACAAATCGTGCCTGACAAATTCTACATCATTTTAAATTCCCTTTAATTTTCAGTCTTCTCACTCACTGCTACATATTGTATTGCACACCATTATTCACTTCAGCTTGGTTTATCATCTTGCAGTCCCCACCTTTCAATCTCATTTCATAGAATCATAGAACAGTTTGGATTGGAAGGGACCTTTAAAGGTCATCTAGTCCAACTCCCTGCCGTGGGCAGGGACAGCTTCAACTAGACCAGGTTGCTCAGAGCAACATTTCTATGTTTCATGTGCAGCAAACTTCTCATGAATGCGACTGTAAAAGTACTGTATCAAAACTTAATTGTCAGTTAAAGTAAACTACAACTCTCTTTTCCCTGGGACTGAAGAGAAATCGGAAATGTCACTGGCTTGAAGTAGTCTTATATGTGACACTGGGTCACTAGAAATGCTGGGATGAGGTAGTTCATATACGTGACAATAATAGGCTAATGATAGATTTAAAGACCGACCCCTTTCATTTTCATGCTCTGTGAAGAATTTTACATTGGTGGTAACTACTCAAATGAGTAGACTGAAAGAAATTACACTAATTTTGATGGCTGAAGTTAAGCCTCCCAAAAAAATGGGAAAACTTGAGAGTGAAGGAGACCTTGTGAACAGACAGGATTACTGTGCATACATGACACATATTGGGCAGAACTGAATGAATGAATGAACTGTGAGAGAAACCCTGAAAGAAATTAGGGTAAAACCTACCTTGCAGGCCACTCGGTGAGGGCATAGTTTGCCAAAACCAAGTGGTGGCTGAATGCGTCTCAGTAATGTAACCACATCAAGATGTTTTATCCTTCCCCTAGAACCAACACACATCAGTTACCAAACATACACCCATTCCCAAAGAATATACTATGCTCTGATTTTATTGTTTTTACCAGACAAATCTTATAAGAGAAATGATCTAACTTACTTTGCTTCAGGGTCATATTCTGACCATATCCTTTTGAACTCATCCAAATGATGGGGACCCAGAATAGACCAGTCACGTGTCAAATAATCAAAATTATCCATAATGACAGCCACAAATAAGTTTATAATCTAAAAAAGTAATTAAGAACAATCTGCCTTAATTATTTTGAAATTAAAAAAAAAAAATCAATCAATAAAATAATTTTATAAGGTAGCAGGTTAAGAATTCAAACAAATAGATTGATCTCATAAACAATGATTTTTGGCAAATATCATCAAATACCACAGAAAATACTTGCTAACCATTTAACTGACTAACTGGAACTCTATCAAGTAATGATATGACAAGAGTGTGATTCTGTCTTAGAGTACTCAGTCTTTGACACAGGCTGTAACATGGTTTTGTTTCTTTTTCTTATTTGCCAGATCCCACCACATCAAATTAAAGAATGTATCCAATACATGTATTTGACACAGTGTAGATCTTGGGAAACAGCTTTTGTATTAATAGGATTCAATGTCATGACAATAAGACTTCTGCATACGTTTTGTTAACACAGAAGATGATACAAAATAGCAGAACATATATGTTTACATTAGTTCACAGAATTCTGTTCAACCACCCTCCTTTTGCAAGGAACAGTACTGTGAACAGAACAAATCAACCAGCTTAGACCAGACACCTGCAATGAGGAAAAACATATTTCAAAGATTATTTTAGAGCAAATAATCCATTATGCCATGGATTAGGGAGAAAAGTTATCGTTCACATCTCATGTGCCACGGTTTGAGCACACTTGTAGAGACATGAATCCAAATTCTGCTAAGTTTAAATAATACAAATAGCATTACTAATACGTCAAAGGAATTGCAGCTTTATTATTAATAAATATTTAATGATACTATTGAGAAATGCATGAAATAATAGCTGATTAAAAGACTGTTAACTTAGCTTTCAAACGTGCAACCAACCACTCCTGCACATGTGTAGTCAGAAGAACACTTTGCACATGGGAATTTAGAATCATAGAATCATAATTAGGTTAGAAGGGACCTTCAAAGATCATCCAGTCCAACCCCTCTGCAGTGAGCAGGGACATCTTCAAGTAGATCAGGTTTCTCAGAGCCCCGTCCCACCAGACCTTGAATGTTTCCAGGGATAATAAATCTACCACCTCTCTGGGCAACTTGTGCCAGTGTTTCACCACCCTCACCGTAAAAATCAGCATAAAATACAGGATTTAGGACTGTGTATGGAAAAATATAACCTTGCAAAAATATTTTAGATATGGGATTTTCAATCGTTCTCTGAACCCACTACTCTCTTAGTTCAGAAGAAAGTCAAAATGCCAAAGCTCATTTTTGTTAATAAGCACAAGCGAGACTCACCAAAAATGCACACAGCATGTAAAAACTGATAAAATAAATGATGGCAAAATTGCTTCCACATGTGTATTCTTCCCCTGGATTATAATCGGATTCTGGGTCACAGCGTTTTCCAGGCAAACATGCCAGCATGATTTCCTGCCAGGCTTCTCCTGTTGCACACCTTTATAAGGTCACAAAGATAAATTAAGCATTATTTGATCAAAACAGATTAAAGATGTATTAATTCGTTAAGTTCTGACAAAATGCTTGGAGCTGTACAAGCACAAATGTGAAGACAGATCGTGAACTTTTCAGAGCAGGAACTAATTAAAAAAATACAGAACATGTTTCAGAAATTACAAGCATAGATCTGACATTGCAGACATGTTTTATAAGGTTTATAATGCATCATAAAGGTTGCATGTAAAAATTTAAACCCCAAACTGTGATTTACAAGTTAAATACTTATTGCAGTAGAGCTGCTGTGTACAAAAGCAGTGTTGTGTAAGAAAACCTACCACAAAAGTTGAAAGTATCTACTTGTAAAAGATTAATTGCCTTTTCCTCAGCATGGTTGAAGAAATGCTTGTCTCTAACTTCTGCTATTGCATTTTTTGCATAGTTGGGTAATGCCTGTGTACAGACCCATGATTTCAAATATTTAAGAGACGGATACATATTTATGACATCTTTGGCTGTGTTCAGTACCTAGTTTCAAAGACGAAAGTCTTTACATGCTTAAAGTGACTTAGATCTCATTGGGTGATGCCCTTGGTCTCAGATAAGGAATGACCCGCCAGTTTTGCCAACCAGGTTAGTAACAATGCATAGGAGCCAAGTGGAGTTACAGGATCACAGGAAAGAGAGCTCTCAAGGTTGTCACCTTTAGAGGCAGTCCTGTTCCATGTCATTCCCTCTCCTTGCTCCAGGAGATTTGGAAGCACCCCTGGCAATCGTTTACCCTCTTCTTAAGCTCTCTAATGATGGAGATTCTATAATCCCCCTACGTCAAGATTTAGCTACCTTTGCCATCAGAAAGTTTTGCCTACTGCTTATCTGATATTTCCCTTCTGCAAGTTAGACCCTCTATTTCTTGTCATCTCTTCAGCAAATGTAAAGAAGAGTTTATTTCTTTATGTTTGCAACAACCTTTCATTTTTTCAAACTGTCATGCTAGCTGTGCTTCTAAAGCATACAGTAAGGGCACAGTCTTTTTCATCTTTCCCATCTTATCGCTTACACAGTGATATCAGGGCTGACTATGTTTAGGCTCTACCTGAGCCTAATAACTCCATAAACGAGATGTTTCACAATAGCTGTAATGAGTTTAGGTCTGTATCACTTGATTAGAACCCTGCTGTGCCAATGGACACTCAGCATACAGCCATAGAGAGTATGTGCTTGTTACGCTAAATTGCTTCTCACTTGCAAACACATTTTGAACAAATCCATGGCACAAGAGCTACAGACATTTTTCATAGATCAATGAAATGGGTTGCATTAAGTAAGAGTTAAGGTTTACTCACCTGAAGAGAAGAAGCACAGCTTGGGGGAAAGTCTGAAAATTGTTGTTTCTGTTTATTTGATTGTTGTCCCTCATGGCCACTTTTCCAAACACCTACAATAGAACAGGATTTTGACTTTGATCCTAGTGACCTGTACTGTCAGAAGCTGTAGGCCTTGCAGCCTAAACTTGCTTCAATATGTATGAAAAACACTTTCACAAATACACTTTCTTTACTCTCCTTAGTTTTTCCTGATAATGATGTAAATGCAGTAAATTTATCACATGTACAAGATAATTCTTAATCATTTAATTTAGCATCAATAAACCATTATAATACTAATACATGTTCCTGTATTTCAGGTGAGAAAACATTATTTGTTTTAAACTAATACCTAGAGTTCTTTATTGATACTAAAGCCCTACTGCGCTAAATATTGTACATACTTGTAGTAAGAAATAATTGCTGTCCTGAAAACGTCGAATCTAAATAGAGAGAGAGATGCAAAGATGGAAACCAAAGCACAGAGAGTCTGAGCATCCTGTCTCAGCCAGAGATGGAAATGAGTTCTGTTCCTCGAAATTAAACTGCAATTCCTTGGCCACAAGACCATTCTTTTTCCCCAATATAACACATTTACATCCTCTTACAATACAGTGAAGGCTGTTACTTAATTTAGAGATATTAACACCATTATGTTCTGTATACATGCTGCTGGACTGTAAGGACATTAAGTTGCTTTTGGATAAGTGATGAAGAGGAAGAATCCGGAAACAAAACCACTCTCCATAGCATATTTCTTCTATTAGGACCTCCCTTTGTGTTGATCTGAAGAACATTACAACTTTAAAAACAAAAGAAAACATCTGTAAAGTTTTACGGAATGCAGGGCTATCCTAAGGCCTTATGATAGGGGTGGGGGGAAGAAAACTGCAGCCCCAATTCAGGATACCTAACAGGAACTTCTGCCAAAGTGTTGATGGCCACCCAGCCATGCTCCTCAGGCACCTCCTTAGGCAAGCACTAGATCTCACGGCTGGCACAGAGACTGCCATGCAGCTCAAACTGCAATTCTGATCACAGCTCCACGCTCAGTGCCTTTATCTGCTGCTTTCCTGCAGTCTGTGCAGTGCCCGCTCAAACGGCTATCCCATCCTCACACTAGTAATGGCCCAGAAGTAGGAATTTTAGGAACAGTTTCCTGACAGGTTTCTCCTACCTAGCTGTCTCTGGTTACTAAGACTGGAGAACCTGTTCTGCCCTCACAGCACTGCTGCTGGTGTGAGGAATGGTACCTTCATCCCAACAGCACATTTTTACATTTTAAGTTATCAAAATCCTTTCTGTGCTTGTACATCTTGTACATATATCCTACTCTTGATTAACCACAGGCTCAGCTGTGCCTAAATCTTTAGTCAGATTCTTTTCATATGGGAAAGACTTTTAAAAAAAAAAAGCTGGAGTTTTAATGCCTGATTCCCAAAACAAGTCTATAGTAAAAAAAAGCCATGCATTCTTTCATACATTCATGCATAGGAATGAACTTCACAGTACGTGGAAGAGGAGTGGCTCTTTTCAGCAAACCAAGATATTATAAGCTCACACCAAGCTCTTCTCTTGCATCTTTTTGGATTTTCTGACTACCAAAATCGTAGCCAAAAAAAGATTTTTACGTTACTCTGAAAGCTCTGCCTTATATATAGCACCACTATCAAAGGAATGTTTCAATAAGCACCTTAGTAAACAAGCCTCAGAGTAGCCAACACTGTACTTTTGTTCAATGCTAAAAAAATTCTATAATTACCTGCATTCCAATGACAGCATAGATGAAGAACAGCATTGCTATCAGAAGGGCAACATAAGGCAGAGCCTAGAAACGGGACAGGTGCATTGTTTTTTAATAATTTCACACCATAATTTCAATTTCCGTTTACAAAAATAAATTCTCTGTACAACACAGGCTTTTCCAAGGTTTTTCATCCTACGCAAGTGCTTAAAATGTTATTACCCGTCACTCTTAATATTCTGCCGCATACAATGAGGCACAAGCTTCATTATTTTTTAAATTACTTCTCCCAACAGTCCACGGGGAAGAATCATCTTTAGCAGTTTTTAATTTTATTTTCATTACTGATTCTGACAGCACAAAGATACTTCCTGCTATACAGTTAGAGAGTTCCATTAACTTCACATTCATCAGAGTTTTCAGGAGCAAGGATTCAAATATCTGTTTGTTACACTTATGAAATCAGTTTTATATAAAAAAATAGATTAAATTCCTCTTTTGTAGTCATCTAATAAAATGTGTGGAAGTATGAGACCTGTGTGTGTCAAACCTATCTCATCCCTTTTAGATATAACAAATATTTTTTTATGAAGCACCATAGAAATCTCATGGTAACGACAAAGAATGACCCTTGGATTCACTGAAGTAACTGGTGAAGTTTATTTTGGCATTAGTATGCAAATATATTTAAAATATCATTATTGATAGCATGAATTTGAAAAGAAATGTTTTTTGCACTCTACAGGGTATTGCTTCATAAAAATTGGTGTAAAAATGGTTGTAATTATAAAGCAAATGCAAATAAATTTTGCTAACCTGAAATGACTTAATAAATGTCCACAGTAAAGTTCTGATTCCTTCTCCTCTGCTAAGCAGCTTCACCAACCTCATCACCCGGAAGAGACGGAAAAAAGTGATGGAGATTCTAGCGCTGTCTTCAGAGTTCTGAAGAGCATCATGGAGAAGTCAAACCAAATACAAACTCAAACATGCAACACTTCCAGAAAAACAACATCAAATGCAAAGGTGGAAGAGGTAAGAGTTGAAAATGTATCTTGAGGGCCTTTTCACCTTAATAAGCATGATATGAAAGGAAAAATTACATGCTAAAAACACAGGACCTGTAGAAATGCTTCACACATCACATGCATTTCCAAGTTTTCTGGTTTGTTAATAAGGATCATATTGGGTTTGTTTGTAGTAGACTTCCATAGTACATTGACAATGAATGCAAACCACTGCATAACATCTTTGTAGTAAGACAGTTATGAAAAATACAGAAAAAATTGGTGGAAAATAGACATGGTAAAAAGAATAAACTCAAGTAGAGGTAAAACCACTGGGGTCAGTTTACTAATCTTACCCCAGACTCATCAGTTGTGACTGTTTCAGTTGGCTTTGGCTTTAAGAAATTAAGAACATTAAATATTAAAATCAAATAAAAGATCAAAAAAAATCATCTTAACCATAAACAGAAGGAAGGACATTTTTCATTTCTAAATGTAAATGAACATCTTTCAACTCCATATACTTCCTGAACAAAACATTAATATCCTTATTAAAACCTTCCCTTTAGCATTTTATGTTGGCTGACTCATATTAAAACATCGTTGGCTGACTCACACTAAAATGTGCTAGTATAAAACATGCTTAGAAGACTCAATGGAAAGTAAATATGAAATAAAATATCTGCTCCTATGTAAGCCAAACAAGATTAGCCATTGACTTCCACAGGTTGTATGAAATCGTAGCAGTAAGCCTAAGTAAAACTCAAGAACAAAGCTTTGGGGTCAAACTAGCCTTTCAAGGTCCCTTTTCTGTTGTGCTCTTCTTGAAGATTAATTACTCCATCACTGGAATCTAACCATTTTCAAGTAATTGTGTTTTACATCACATCAGGAGCTCCCTTAAAGCAAAGTAATTCACTTGAGTTAACTCACTCAGTGATGAACATTGGGTTTTGCAGTGCTTAACAAGGACAGATTTTCACTCTGCCAAAGTGATAGACAAACATTTTTAGCACAATGACACGAAGGCTAACCCTCCCACAGAGATGCAAGTGAGAAGGCAATACTTGTACTCTCTCACCATCTACAAAGTACTCATATACCTGAGCTGACGTAACAGCATCAGGCATGGAGAAAGGGCTTCAGGATTTGATTGACCCTTTTGGAACAGATCTGTACAACCCTCAGGAGCTACAGGGAGGAGAGAGGCACACACCAACTTCTGGTTCACAGAGCCAAACTCTATGTTCTGTGAAGAAGAAACTCACTTCTCGCTTTATAATGTCTCTGTCTGTCTGTCTTTGGAGAAACTGTCTCGATATCCTAAATGTCAGACACTTATCAAAAGCAGTTAGCAAAGCTTAAAGGATCAACTGTCCTCGCTTGCCTGTGCACTGACAGATTCACAGCAGCTTCTTCCAAAATGGAATGGAAGTGTCCTTAAAAACTTTATAGAACTAGAACAAATGGGATTCTGGATGTTAGATCCTAGTGATGGGTCTTACTCTCTTACCTAAAATATCCTCCTTTTAAAGGAGTACCTTTCAACAATTATTGTCACATACAGCGGCAATAACCATGATGCCTCCTTAGTGCTGCTTCCAACACATCGTGGATGCATCAGACTCACTCTCAATACCATGCTTCACTGAGTAAAATCTCAAGTATTGCTGTTACCTAAGATAAAACTTGGGGAGAAGGAAAGGAAAAGAGAGGAGCTGATTTGGCTGAAAATAGTGGCAGTATATTATACAAACATACTACAGTAAAAAAACCAAAAACAGGTAGTCCTTTGTTAAAGTTAGATTATTAGCAGTATTTATTAAAATACTAATTGTTTTGTCTATTTGTTTTTGCAAAACATATATAATATAAAGGTATCACAAGGGGAAAATGAGGTAAAAATAACTGTTTGTTCAACTACATGCTATCTACATACATATACATTACTGCCCTGCCAGGATATCACTATTTTCTGAAACAAAGAGTTTTAAAACTGTTTTAGGGTTTATTACTAAATTGATGCATTAATATTAACCAAAAAGCAGATCTCCTCATTAGACTTCAGTAAGCAGAGTATTTGTAAAATCAGCTGTAACATCTAAGCTTTGTAAGCACTTACATAAAATACAAAAAAAAAAATGCTGCCAATGACAGACAGTCACTGCATTAGAAATTCCCTGCGTATTTCAACAATTTAAAGTAAAACCACCAAAATATAGATTAAGGAGAAATTCATAATCACAAACGTCATAAATGCCAAAATATCACAAAACATGGAAACAATCTTGCAAAGCTGTCTACCTACATCAATGACAAACCTGTACTAGTGTACACAGACCCATATTGCTACTGACTTTTTGGTGCAGAAAAAAGCTTTCTTAGCTGAAACTTTTAAAGAAATTGCAGACGAAGCCTGAAATTTCATATTAATCTCTGGTGACTGACTTATGCTGAGCTTGATACTGTCTTAATCAGTAAGCGAACTACTTAATTATTATTCAATATTTTGTATCATCAAAAATTAAATGAAGTATTTGACAGATACAGAAGAGATTAAATTACAGTATCATCACAAATTGACACTAAAAAAAAAAAAGAAGTAAAAAGCTGGGGTTTGCATTTGGGAGTTTTTCCCATTAGCTTTTATAGGAGAAGGATTGGGCCCCAAATAAGTCAGGAACAGTATTAGGATAGCAATATGTAATGGGATAGATAAGAACAGAACAAGGATACTTTAGTCCTACACATTTTTATTTAATTGCTTTCCAAAAGAAAAAACAATGAGTATGCATTATGATTTGGTTATGAAAAAACCCTCACAAAAGGAAAAGTCAGGAAAAAAAACCTTTTTCTACACGTAACTACCTTAATAATTACTTAATTCTCACTCTTGAAAATGTAGCCAGAGATCAGATTACCAAAACTATGTGAACAGTTCTACTGCAGGTGCTCAGGAATGATGAGTGCAAAATCCCTCAACTTTTTTTTTTTGTCTGAAGGGCACAGAATGTATTTGTGTATGCCCATTTGTGTATGCCCAGGACTGTGTAACGCACATTCCTCTCACAAATCACTCTTTCTCAGCTGCTTTGTATAAACAGTCCCTAATTGCCTGTTTGTGATGGCTGATCTGCTGCTGCTGGGAAGTATTAGGATGTCATATGCAAAATACCCTAAATTACGAACACTGGAAAGAGTAGGCCAGGAATGAAAAAGGAAAGCACCCTGTTCACAAAAAGTAAATTGTACAAAAATACCAGGGTGGAGATTGATGCTAGAAACAAGCAACGAAAACGAACTCCTGATACCAAAGGATTTTTTTTCTACTGGAGCTGAAAATATACAATTTCTGCCCATCATTGGCCAAGTGGTTTGGGTACTGACATTTTAAAGTGAGTGTATCTAATTTTTTACCCTTTCTGGCATTTCCCTCTGATAATACAGCAGCTTGGTTTATATTATGCATAATAATTGTAATGAAGCTAATATAGTGATATACCACAAAGAAAACATTATTCATACTTATTTATAAAGGAAATGCTCATCTAAGAGACAAAGTTAGTTAACATTTATATATGTCCATCCAGCATGAAGTAATACAAAGATCTGGGAAACTAAGATGAAGGTAGCACAATCTTCAGTAACAAGAACAGACAGACTGACAATAACAGAGAACATCTGCTTCCTACAGATAAGGAAAAAACATACACTACCCAAACACATAATCTTATTTGCAACTTCAGTAATATTACTTGACATGTACACACGTAAGTGGGTGGCACATTATGTGTATGTAGGGAGACTGAGAAGGGGGCAGGTTGAGCAGAGAGCGTCTCTTTGGATGATAGTTGCTGACAAGAATGCAAATAAAAATATTTCCTGTAGTCAGGCAATCTACCTACAACCTCCTCCTTCCCCTCATCTTCCACCAATCATTCCAATACTACTTGTGTCCCAAATGCTTGGGGACTGGCTGGTCATTATTATGATTTTTTGTCTCCCGTGGGACTATGTGATTCCTAAGAAGACAGATGTGCTTTCTGGGATCCCTGCTAGAAGTCTGGTAACGGGCACAGCTAGAATAAATGAACAGCTTCTGCTTTCATTGCTTGGCTAACAGATGCACTGCAACGAGGGAAATGACGACAGAGACTGGCTTAATTATTCTACCTTTTCTGTCAGCCATGTGCCAGCTACACTGAGAGCCTAGCTCAGCAAAGCACTTCATAACTACATAATTTTAAGCCAATTCTTAAATACTTCAAATAGGCAGTAACATGCGATTTTTTTTTTCCTTAATCGAAGTTCAATACAGCAGCTTTCTTCCCCAAACAATCCCAACCCTCAAAAAAGATTAGTCAACGATCAACCTAAATTTCTGACTCACTGATTAAAATGTTTGCAACTTGCTACCCATTTCGGTCAAGTATTTATTGCTGCTTATGAAAAATTTAGCACATTTCCTAAACAGTAACTCCTCATTACACTCTTCATATTGCAACAGAAGTTCCAAATAAACATCCTAACTGAAAAAAGCTTCAATGTCAAAACTGTGAACAGTGTGAAACAGATTGCATCATGCATTGGACGCAAACTGTAGCTCTGTGTTTAAGAAGAAATAAACATGGTAAAAACCAGTGGATATTAGTATACGGTGTTGGTCAAATGCTTCTTTTTTACAGATTGTGCCAAAGGGTATGAAAGCATGCCAAAACAAATGAACACATAATGATGAGGTAATCATCATTACAAATATAGAAGGAAACATCTGAATGACAAACACATATGATGACAATAACATATATAGGAAAGCATTCAGGTTGCCAAAATATCTTCCGAAATGTGTAGTGTATGTGTGTCTGTGTGCATGTATGTGTACATATATACAATTTGTTCAGAGAATAATTACTGGAATTCAAATGTGCTAGCAAGTAATTATTTTCATAGTCTTATCAGTGCTCTCTATATTCCCTGTTCAACATGAACCAAATGCCCATATATATAATTTAGTAAAAGTTTTGACTCAATGTGAAGAAGCCCAGAGTAGATAAAAAAAGTATAATTTCCCTTATAAAAGATGTATTTAAAACTCTAAGTTCATAACTAACATGTTGACGGCATAGGGTATTATTATGATCACTAATAAATATTCAGTTGTGCAATACAGTAATTAAACTATTAGTATTACTATTAGTATTAACACTTTCATGAAAGCAGCTCAGAAATTTACTTCCTTGTAATATAATATTGCAAGACAGTATAGATTTCATATTGCAGTAAGACTTCATACTACCAATAGCAAAGCCATATAAGAATGCATTTTTCTGACCTATCCTTAAGCCTAAAGAGACACATTTGCAAAAGTATTAACAGTATTCAAAAATACCAATTA